TTGCTCCCATTTGCTGAGCCCTGTGAGGTCGAGGTCTTATGATCCCCAGTTTCCTGTAAACTGAGACGCAGAGAAGTTGAGCCATCAGCCCAAGGTCACACAGCTAGCGAGGGGCAGAGCTTAGATTGGAACCCAGCTCCCCCTGCTGGTTAACCCTTGGAAGAAGCTGCCCCTGGCACTTCCCCCTTGAACTTCAGGGTAGAGGGAGCAAGCCCGCTCCTGGGGCTGATTTGGAGACGTCAGGGATTCCCCCAGTCCTTCAAGTGACTCAGTGGGAAAAGGACAGTCCAGGCCATGCCCTCATCTTCCTAGTGAGACACTGGGGACCGGAGAGAGGCAATGACCTGCCCGGGACCACACTGCAAGTTGGGGACAGGCTGGAGACAGAGGCACCCTGCTTGGGCAGCTGCCCCGACCCAGACCGGGTGATTCTGTTGTGCTGCTAGAAGCTGGGGTCCCCTCCTGCCCGACTCTAGAGCCTCAGCCCTGGCCCACAAGGTCCCAGCGCCAGCACCCCCCAAAGTCCTCCGCTCACTTGTTCACTCACTCACACAGTCATTCGACAAGCGCTTACTGAATGGGCGCTCGGGGAGTTTGAGTGTGGTCCAGGAGACCCGGTCAGGCCACAGCCCCTCCATGGTGGAGAACGCCCCTGCCCAACGAGGGCTTGTCTGGAGGACAGGATGGTCATCTGGAGCTCTAAGTTCAACAGGAAGGTCAGGCAGAAAGGGTGGAAGGAACAGCACGTGCAAAGACGCCGTGATACACTGAATTATGCCCTTAAAAGGGGTTGGTTTGAAGTTCTGTGAATTCTACCTCCATACAAAGGAGGGACTTGTAACTTTAAAGAAGTTGGGGACTTGCCTTGTGGCGCAGTGGTTAAGAATCTGCCTGCTAATGCAGGGCACACGGGTTCGAGCCCTGGTCTGGGAAGATCCCACATGCCGCGGAGCAACTAAGCCCGTGCGCCACAACTACTGAGCCCATGTGCCGCAACTACTGAAGCCTATGCGCCTAGAGCCCATGCTCCGCAACAAGAGAAGCCACCGCAATGGGAAGCCCGTGCACTGCAACCAAGAGTAGCCCCCGTTCGCTGCAACTAGAGAAAGCCTGCGCGCAGCAACACAGACCCAACACAGCCAAAAATAAATAAATTTATAGAAAAAGAAATAAAGAAAGAAGGTGGTGTATGTGTGCGGGCATCCAGTACCGCAAGGCTGAGGGGTGGGGGATGCAGGCAGCGGCGGGGGTGCCAGAGGGACCCGACAGGCCACAGAGGACCTGGACTTTGTCCCCGGTGACATTCAGCTGTCGGCCTGGCCTGTGCCCCCTTCTGCACCGAGCTCCACTGAGAGCTGTGAGGTGGGTTGGGAAGGAAGACCTAAGAGGGCTGTGAGAGGAAGGGACCCCGGTTAGATTGCACAGCCCTGCCGCTACTCCCCGTGGCCCTGGGAAGCCCGGCCTCCCGCCTGCAGGACGAGCAACACTGCTGTCGCAGGGTTGCTATGACGTGGGTGCCGCAGAGCTCCCTGGGGTGTGCGGTGGCGGAGGGGAGGATGACCGTGGGTGCTGGTGGCGCCGCTGGCCTCTGCTTCTCACCTGAGATGGGGGGCAGGGCGGAGCTAGGGGATCCCCTGCGCCGCAGGGGCGCCGCTTCCTCTTGCCCAGGCCAGCTCCCCTTTGCCCCAACCTGGGCCTCAGGGCGGTGGTGGGGAGGGGCTGCTGCAGAGGTTAAATGTCCTGGGCTGACAGGGAGCTGCGGGCAGGGGGGACACCCACCCCTCGAGGGCCGGGAGTCCAGGCTCTCCTAAGACTGGCAGTCCAGACTTGGGTTCAAGTAACGGGCAGCTGTGCAGGGCAGAGATGGTGGCAGGTGGCAGGGGGCCTGCGCGAGGGTGGAACCAAGCTAACAGGGCAGCGTGCTAGGAGCCCAGCTGCCTTAGTCAGTAGCCAGCCAACCCTGTCTCAAGAGAAATGCAAACAGAGCTGGGCACACACCTATAATGAGTTTCTGGGCAGGAAAAGGGAGGAAACCTCCCCTGGGGCATATTGGGATCAAGGGATCGAGGGCTGGGGAGAGGAGATCACAATCAGTGGGGGACAGAGAGCAGACGCTGGGACCCAGAGCTCAGCTGTGATGCCTCATTCCCCAGGGTGCAGGGCCCAGGCCGGCAAACGCCCACCACAGGGAGGGCCCAGCCACGTGGCCTTGGCAGGCCGGCATCTTTCTGGACAGCCGGTACCTCTGCGAGGGGGCCCTCATCTCCCAGGAGTGGGTACTCACAGGTGCCAACTGCTTTGGCAGGTGGATGCAGCGGCCAGGGAGGGTGATGGAGAGGGGCCCCAGGAGGGGGCGCCCAACCTCTTCACACACACACACACACACACACACCCCGCTATCCACAGCTGCCCCAGTCCCACTTCAGCGTGACCTTGGGCCCAGACTGACTGGCGCTTGACGCTTGTGAGAGCACGTCCAGCGTGGAGGAGCTGCTCCTGTCCCCAGGAGGGCCTGGGGGCCTGGTCCTGGCCCGGCTGGCAAGGCCACCACCTCTCAGCAGTGCTGTTCAGCCTGTCCCTCTGGCTACCCGGTCCTGGTGTTTTTTCCAGGGGCAGCCCTGTTGGACACAGGGGTTTGAGCCTGTCTTCGCTAAGGACGGGAGCGGACGCCTGAGGTGGCTGAGGGTGGGCCGGGCAGACAGCTGGGATGGAACTGGGGCCTGCACAGCCGGAAATGCCCGGAGTCCCTGAGCCCCGAGCACAGCCCAGCTCTGGCCTGCTGCTGGCTGGCACGTGGACACGGGCCTCGGGGCAGAGGGTGGCACTGGCGCCTGCTACGCCCGGGTCAGCTTCCAGACCCACCCAGCCTGCAGGGCAGCCCTGGGCCCTCTCCTCGCCCCCTCCCTTGGGCCGCAGTGTGTCCCCAGTTTCAGTGGGTATGGCCCTGGGGAGACTGTGAGAGTCCAACGGATGACACGACAGAGCTGCGCTGAGAGGGACTTGGGGGTCCACTAAGAGAGGACGGGGAGAACTGGATGCCCAGGAGGGCAGGAAGTTTTGCGGCTGGACTGGTGCCAACCTGCTGAGGGTCCCCTCCCGCCCCACCTCGCAGACCTCTATATCCCGCCCCCAGAGCTGTGCAGCATCCCGCTGAGGCTGCTGCACGCCAGCACCAGCCGAGACGCCTTCCGCCTCCAGTCTGACTGTCCTGACCCAAACGCCAGCCTGCCCAAGGGCGCCCAGTGGGCCAGACCCCACGCCAGCCCACCCCACCTAGTGGTGCGGGTTCCAGCCTGGCCCTGCACAGGCCCCGAGAGGTGCCCCACCCGTTCCGACGGTCCCTCCTAAGGCCACTAGGCCTGGTCACCTCTCACACTCCCGGGGGGCCACTGATCCGCACCCTGATGGCCATCCCAGAGAACCCGCCCCCTGGGGAGACTCCCCCTTTAGGTTCTGTGCGGACGTGGGGCAGCCTTGGACATGGCCAGGTCTGCGGTTACAAGGAGCCCCTGGTTATTTGATAATAGCAAGCATTTTGTTGAAAACTGTTCTTTGTGTAATACCGAGGCACAAGGGGGAAAGAGCTGGGCGAGAGTGGTAGCATCTGAAGACGCATTGTACCTGGGAGGGTGTGAGGGGTGGGGGACGGGATATGGCCAAGGCCTGGGGGAGGCCAACTCCCACCTGAGCCCCCGGCCCACCCACCCGGCCTCAGCCTCTCTTGTCAGAGGTGTGAACGCTGGCTGCCCAAGCCCCCTCCCCTGTCAAGTATCTTTGCTCACCTGAGGCGGGTGGGGGGACGGTCGGTGGGCCCGGGCTGGCTGTGACCCCTCCTTCCCTCTCCCACACAGGTGTCTCGTGGGACCCCCCTGGTCTGCTCCCAAGCTGGCAGCTGGTTGCTGGGGGCCCTGCTGGGTGCGCAGCCTCCTTGAAGTCTTCACACCTGTCCACCCCTTCATTTTCTGGATCCGGGGTAAGGTCTCCAATGCCACCTTTGGCACCCCAGCCAAGAGGCACCCTTGGCGCTGGGCCAGGACCAGGCAATGAAGCAGTGAGGGTCGCGAGCCCGCGGAGTCCTGGGTTTGAATCCCGGCTCAGCTCCTTACCAGCTGCTGTGACTGTGTCCCAGTCACCTCGCCTCTGAATCTGCTTCCTCTTTTGTGCAACAGAGACGTACTCAATTATTCATCCACTCCACAGGCTGCCACCAGTGCTCACTTGTGCCAGGCAACCGGGACACGGGGTGGGCGCGGCCCCTGTGCTCACGGCGTCTGTTGGTCGGGAGAGGCGAGCATTGGCCGGAGCTGTGACAGTAATAAATGTGCAAATGCGAACCGTGCTCTAAGCTAAGAGCAGGCGGACGACCCGCTCCGGCGGCCAGGCAGTGACGTCCTGAGGGCAGTGTCCTGGCGGGGCCGCGCTCGGGCTCGCCCCTCAGCGACTGGGGGTGCTCGGGCGGCCGGGGGCGGCCCCTCCGCAGCCTGTTTCCCGCCCCACGCGGAGGAGCGCCGGCGCGGGTTTAAGGATTCTCCAGGTCCCTCCCAGGTTTGTCTAATAAACTTTTGGGAGGCGAGGGTCTCAGAAGGCCCGAGGGAGCATCCGTTGACCCCACGCAGGCAGCTGCTGGTCCCACGCGGACTCTCGGAACCGGGGCCGGACCCCGACTGTCGGGGGCCTCGCTCTTGAGCCCCACGCGCGGTGGTCGTCACCTCCGGCTCAAGACCTCCCACGGGCCTGGCGGGGCCGGGTCTGAGTGGACACACACTTCCCGTGGGGTAACCTGAACCAGGGATGTGCTGGGTCCCGCACCAACAGACACAATATAGCCGCGGATTTCGCGCCGACGGTCCCCGCGAAGCCCCGCCTCCCTCCGCGCCGCCGCACGCATGCGCTCGCTTTTCTGAAGATCCCGCTTCCCAGAAACTTGTCCCGCGCGCCACGCCGTCCGTCTCCAGGGCAACCCGGCTCCTCCTAGCAACCGCGCAGCCCTGCTATGGCGGCCGCGGGTCCCAGCGTCTTCCTGCTCATGGTCAACGGGCAGGTGGAGAGCGCCCAGGTGAGCGGCCGTGGACCCCGCGGGGCCGCACCCGTCCCCCCAGGGCCTAGCCTCGCCAGAGGGAGCCAGCGTGTGAGAGGCTTGGTGCGAGGTCGTGCGAACCCTCCGCCCCATGTGCGGTGTGGAAACAGGCCTGGGGGGTTGAGCGAGGCCGAGGCCGCAGCCGGCCGAGCCGGCGTGGAGTCACGGGCAGGGGCCTCCACCCCACGCGATCCGCGCGGGTCCGTGCGCAGCGAGGCCCCGCGCCCTCGACTCTCAGGCCCTCGGGCGCGGGTTGGAAGGGAGGTGATCTGCTTGATCTGATGCAGCGATGGTGGCGGCTGCCTCGGTGCGGGCGGGGGGCGGTGTCTGTTGGACGGAAGGGGACGCTACCCTCCAGTCCGCAGCACGTCCTACGAACCGTTTGTCATTTCTGTGTATAAGACATAGTATATGCCAGCCTCCATGCCCAGCCCCGCTCAGTCGATCCTCACAGCAACCTGTGAAGTAGGTATTACTGGCACCCTCATTTTACAGATGGGAAAACTTGCCCCAAAGCAGTGGCAGAACTGGAATTTGAAACCTGGTCTGATGTCAGAGCTTTGCTGGACTTGCCCTTCCAGGCTGTTTTTAAAATATTATGAGTATATTGTGAGGACTAACTGAGATGGTTTAGGTAAAGCTCTGCTGGGGCCTCTTAATGGGCATCTCCCGCCTTCCTGTTTCATCAGGGACGCTGCCCCAGTCTCCCACTCTGTCCACCTCCCCCTTGACCCAGTGCCCAAGACCCGCTTCCCCTCTTCTGCTCTGTCCCATCAGGGGCCTCAGCTGGGCTGGGTCACATGTGTCTGTGCTCTCAGCAACCACCTCATCCCCACTTTTCCTCCCCCTCTGCTCGGGGCCCCTCCTCTAGCAGGCCAAGCATATGTTGCTCTGTGTGTCCTAATAGCACCCTGCCTTCGCAGACCTTTCACTGTATCATTTCCTTAGAGCTGCTCCTGTGCCTGCCCCTGTGCCAGGTGCTGGGGACACAGAAAGCTCGCACACCTGTCCCTTGTTCACAGTCTAATGGGGTTGAGAGAAATAAACAGTGCTGTGATGGAGGGAAGCACCAGGGGCTGCGGGAGCTAGGAAGTGGCCCCCCAGGACGGCCCGGAATTTAGGGCAGGCTCCCTGAAGGATCAGTTTTGAAGGGTGAGCAGGAAAACTCCAGGTGAAGGAATGGGAAGGGTATGTCATACAGAAGGCAGAGCCTGAGCAAAGGCCCAGGGGCAGTAGCGGCCCTGGACTCGCCCACATCTTGGGCCCCAGACCCTCCGCTGAACGCCACGTCCACACCCCCTGCTGTCTCTTAGCCCCCACCCCCCCTCACCAGGTGCCTCACGATCGGAGTTACTGGTGGCCGCACCTGCCTGGCCAGCAGTCGGTCTCAGTGTGAGTCCCTGTGAGCAGAAGCTGTGTATGCTTATCTCCACAGTTTCCTGAGTATGACGATCTCTACTGCAAGTACTGTTTCGTGTATGGCCAGGACTGGGCCCCCACGGCGGTAAGCTGGGCCCTTTGGCCTCCCAGACTCACGGCCTTCGTGACTGGGGGGGTCTCTGAAGGCTCCATCACTCCCGTTACCTTCCCAGTTCAGAACCAGTTGAGAGGTGGACGCTGAGTTCAGGGGGGACCCGCATGCGAGTCTGTTCCTGGTGAAGCCGGGGCAGAGAATGCAGCGCCGCGGTGCTCCCTGACCCACCCCCGAGGCCGTGCTCGCTCGCGCGCCCTGTCCTGGGAGCTGGCGCGTGGCAGCAAGTAGGGATGTTTGGGCAGCGCGGGTGGGCAGACCCCAGAGAGCTGGCCTGGAGGCGGCCGAGCTGCAGACACTCTGGGCTGGTCCTTTCACTGCCCTGCCGGTCTCCTCAGCCTGTGGGGAGACTCTGGAACCCTCCTTCCAAGAGTCCCCGAGGAATGGTCTCCACCAGGAGAGGGACGATGGCGCCTCTTCAGCCCGCACCGCGTTACTGCCTGCGCGGCACTGGGGCGACCCTCACAGCTGCTCGGAGCCTGGTCCCTCCTCTGTGCAGCTGAGACCATAGCGCTTGTCCTCCAGGCACCCGCTAAGCGATAGCTGCCGAGTCTCTTGGTGATGGGGACGCAGTGGTGAACAGAGCCAGTGAAGCCCCGGTCTTGCTGGGTGCACTTCTTGAGGGGGAGACTAGACACGGGGCAGTAAACACTCCAGGCTGTTGGCTGGTGACACGCTGGGGGAAAGCAGAGGCAAGAAAGGGAGGGATGAGAGGCCAGAAAAGGCCTCATGGAGATGGTAGCCGAGCACAGAGCTGAAGGAGGCGAGGGGACAAGCCGCGTGGAAGGCTGTGGAAAGAACTAGGCAGGCAGAAGGTGTGGAGTGTGCAAAGGCCCTGAGGCGGGGGGTGTGCCTGGCATGTTTGACCTGGGAGGTGGGGGGCCAGTGAAATGGGGACAGAGAAGGGACCACATCACAGCCAGCCGAGCCACTGGTGACTTGACAGAAACACTTTGGTAGAGTGGGGGCCAGAGGTCAGATTGGGGTGGGTTCAGGGATGCAAAGTGAGAAGGAATTGGAGCTGGTGAGTGTCGACATGTCTTTTAAGAAGCTTGGCTGGGAACAAAGGGGTGGGGGGGCGTAGGGCCAAGGGGCGTTGCTTTGTAACCAAGAAAGTGACACGCACACACGTGCCGATGGTGACAGGGGAGAGGGCAACACCGTCCCCTCAGTGAGGCTGAGGCGCAGGTGGAGCTCGGGCACCGGGGGAGGGCTGGGGCCTCGAGGTTCCAGGCCCTCATGGATGAAAACCCTCAAAGACCTGGGAGCCCCTCCATTACGTCTCAGGTCCCTTCGTTTGGCAGAAGATGGTGAAGGAAACAGCTCTCCCAGCTGCTGCCCAGGGAGGGGAGGGGCGTGGAACTGGGACACTGGCCGTCACTGTCGTCCTCGCAGGGGCTGGAGGAGGGCATCTCACAGATCACATCCAAGAGCCAGGATGCGCGGCACGCGCTGGTGTGGAACTTCCCCATCGACGTCACCTTTAAGAGCACCAACCCCTACGGCTGTGAGTCCACAGGCCTCGTCCTGCCCCCGTGCCCACACATGGACCTTCCCTGCCCGTCCCCTGGGCCCTCAACCAGCCTTGTCACGTGCTCTCAGCCACCTGGCAGTTTCCCCCTCCTCCCTGCCCCCTTCCTGCTCATCTGTGTGCACTTGACCTTCCTGAGGTTCTGATGGAGCCGGTGAGGCCCAGCCTGCAAAGGGCAGAGCCCGGCTCAGCAGTCTGGCCAGGAGGCCTGCCCTGGCAGCTCTCCCCTGTCCGTCACAGCTGTGCTTCTGCCAGACCCGAGCGCCCTGCTCCTCCTGCAAGTCCCTGCCCTTCTCTCTGCCCGGGGGACCTGGCCCTCATCCTACCTCTGACCTTCCCAAAGCCCTCCTCGCCTGCAGTGTTTGCAGTGTTTGCTTTCTACCTTACCTGGCAGTTACCAGTCACTCTCACTTAATAAGCGCCAACTGTGTGCAAAGCCTGGGGTTCGCTCCACAGGGGCCGTGAATACTCTCCCTATGTGGGCTTGGCCAGGCTTTGTAACCCTATCTGTTAGGTAGATTCTTCTCCACTTCTAGGAAACTGAGACTCAAAAAAGTGACATCATTTGCCTTCAGCTTTACCTTGAGTAGCTGAGCATGGATTTGATTTCAGGTCCATCTGATTTCACGGTCCAGGCCTTATGCTGCGTGTGGCGGGGGCTCAGGCTTACCGGGCACAGAGGGTCTGGAGCAGAGACTGCCTGGCTGTCCTCCTGGGCGGGGACTGCCATCCTGTTGTCATCATCCACGAGAAACTTCCACAGGCTTCCTGGAACAGGGCACTAGATAAAAGACCAATCTCCTCCTGCTGAGGACGGCTAGGAAAGGTGAATAAAATATTAAAAAGCAAAACCAGAAAACAAACTACTTGAAGGCATCAGACAGGTAGCAAAGTCGTGGCGCTTTAGGAGGCCAAGACCCAGGAAAAAAGCAGAGCTCCAGAGACACCCCCAGCCACAGCTCCCCTGGGAGTATTTGCTGATTCCAGCAGAGGTGATCGAGATGCTGACCGAGACTTTTGTCGGCCGCTCTGGGCTGGGGACCCAGGAGCCAGGAAGATCCTGCCACCTCAGAGCTCTGAGAGAACAGCCCGCCCTGGCCTGCGGCCCGGCTGCCCTCATCCCCACCCTGGACGTGGTGCCAAACATCCACAAACTGCGCCTAACAGGACACCAGAAGGGTGATCTATCGTGAGCAAGGAGGGTTTAATCCAGAAATAAGAAGTTCGTGCAACATCTAAAGTCAACCAGTGAGACTCACTACGTTAAAAAGAAAGTCGCCATCATCCCCATCGATGAAGAAGATGTGATAAAATTCAACATGCATTCATGACAAACCTGTAGCCAACCAGGAGTAGAGGGAAACTTCCTTAATCTGATAAAGGCTATCCACAAAACTTAGAGCAGACATCACTTATTTTAGTGAGATGTTGAGAGATCTCTCTGTCAGATCAGGATGCTTGTCATGACCACCAACACTGTACAATTCAAAGGTATAAGAATTAGAATCATGTCACCTGTCATTATTCACAGGTGACATGATTATGTAGCATTTCCAAAATAACCTACAGTAAATTATTAATAAGGGGGCATGACTGCCAGATATAAGATCAGTATATAAAAATCAGCTGGCGGGCTTCCCTGGTGGCGCAGTGGTTAAGAATCCGCCTGCCAACGCGGGGGACACAGGTTCAATCCCCGGTCCGAGAAGATCCCATGTGCCGCGAAGCAGCTAAGCCCATGCACCACTACTACTGAGCATGCGCTCTAGAGCCGGCGAGCCACAACGACAGCCCACGTGCTGCAACTACTGAAGCCCGTACGCCTAGAGCCCGTGCTCTGCAACAAGAGAAGCCCGCATGCAACAACGAAGACCCAACGCAGCCAAAAATAAATAAGTAAATAAATTTATTTTAAAAATCAGTTGCTTTCTGTATAAAAATAGAATGTGTTTTCTATTCTGTATAAAAAGTAGAAATTGATATTTTAAAAATAAATTCTTTCCAGTAGTATCAAACACAACCTGTCCTACCAGCTATCAAGCTGTGACTGTAAAGCACAATCACGAGAGCAGTTGTGGCACCAGGACAGACAGATCTGTAGGGAGCCCAGGGCAGAACTGAACATGTGCAGCTGATTCACGACAAAGGGCAGAGCAGGAGGGGAAGGGGGTCTTGAGAAGTGGTCCTGGGGCAGTTGGATACAAGCAGGAAGAAAAGTGCAGCCCGATCTCTGCTTTGTATCAGGCACACAAAGTCCATCCCAGAGGAATACACGCACGGAAATGTGAAAAGCACGACGATACGGCTTCAGGAAGATTCCACGCAGGCGGGAACCGCGGTACCAGGATGAGGACTCCGCACAGGAGCAGATCCGCGGGTTCCACTGTTAAATTTAGGGCTTCTAGTGACCCAAAGACATCATTACGGATGAAAAGAGACCATCCAGTTGTAAACTGGGCAAGAGGCTCGAACAAGGCACCGCCCAAAAGAGGACGTCCGAGTGACCAAGAAACAGGACGAGGTCTCAACTTCATTTTAGGAAGAACAGTTACAATTAGGAAAATGCAAATTAAAGCCAAAGTGAGCGGCCATGATTCAGGACCAGAACAGCCCAGTTAGGAAGCTTGAGGACGCCAAGCTCTGGTGCGGTGCCCCCAGGGAAGCAGCTCGAGTGAATGCGCGGCCTGGGCAGACACGGGTGCGCGTGTGACGAGAGGTTGCGCTGTCCCAAGAAGGAGACACAGCCCGGGCATCCATGGCCGCCAGACAGGACGGAGTTCTCCTGCCCTGGAGACGTGACTCGGTTTGGATGCGTCTCATAAACACTGAATCCAAGAAGCTGGATGCAGGAATCTACGTACCATACGATTCCACTCATACAAAGTTCACAACATGGGCAGAACCAAAGAACCACGTGTGGGATGCATTCTTTGGCGGTGAAACCTTACGGAAAAGGAGTGATGACCTTTGAGGCGGTGACGGGGAGGGAACAGACGTCCCCCAGCACCGGCGAGCACTTCCTCTGCGTCAGGCCCGAGCCTGGGCGTCTGGAGGATGAGAAAACAGGCTGTCCGGTGGCCGCGGGTCCAAGCTGGGCAGGCCGGCCGGCTCTGGGCCTCCCCGCCTCCCGAGGATGTACCCCAATGGAGCTGCCAACAGGGAGCAGTGGGAACTGGCAGCACTCGAGAGGAAGGGGGTGCGGGGCCGCCCTGAGCCACACGCAGACACCCCCGGGAGCAGCCCCCCGCCCCCACCCCCACCCCGTCACAGCCGGGTCCCTGTGCACTCCCTGGGCCTGTCCAGCGGCAGGACCGGGGCAGCACGGGGCCCAGCCTGCAGGCGCACACCTGGGGGCTCCCGGGCCCGCCGCCCTGCTCTCCCCCCTGCGCCTCCCCTGGGCTTGCCCGCAGGCTGACCCCTGCCTTGTCGTTCGCAAGGGCCACAGATCGTGCTTAGCGTGTACGGGCCGGACGTGTTCGGGAACGACGTGGTCCGAGGCTACGGGGCGGTGCACGTGCCCTTCTCACCCGGACGGTAGGTCCTCCTTCCGACCTGGTCCCTCGCCGGGCCACGCTGGCTCGGGACCCCGGCACCCTCCGCGAGGCTCTCCCCGGGGCATGCCTCACCTTGAGGCGGGGAGTGGGAGGGGTCCCTGGCGTGGGGGCGTGGCCCACACCTGGGAGGGGGTGTCCTGGGGCATCGAGAGGGGCGGGTCCAGCCAGAGTTCCGGGCAGGCTGGGGTCGGAGTTCAGACACTCATTCCCTCGCTGCTGGCCTGAGGACACACGTGTCAGACACGTGTGACCACGGGACCTGCCCTCGGCAGGCCCCCCCCCCCCCGAGTAGTGGGCACAGATGGAGAGACGCAGCTCTCTCTTGTCAAGCATGGTGACAGGGTATAGGCACCGTGTTCCAGGCGCGGGGTGGGTGGCCAGGGTCAGGCGACCCTAAGGGGTGAGGACTCCATCAGAGCAGGTGGAGGGAGGAGGCCCAGCAGGCGAACCTGAAGGGTGTTGAGATGGGAAGTGCAGGGTGCGAGGGGAAGGGGGACGGGGGACGGGTGACCACAGCCGGGTGTGGTCCAGGGGACTGTCAGGGGCTTCCTGGAGGATGGCAGCGCGCTGGGATATTTGGACAAGGACAAGGGCCCTGTGAGGGGCACAGTTGAGCCAGGGTTGGTTTGTAGCCCTCAGCATCCTCCCGACCCTTCAAAAGAAACAAGGCTCTCAGAGGACTCAGCCCTGGGGGCGGGGCTCCGGCTCCGACTTGGCACTGCCGCCCCTCGCTGGAGGCTCAGAAGGCTCCGCCACTTTTCCGTGACTCAGCACAGCTGTCTGTGAAAACATTTGTTTCAGGCACAAAAAGACCATCCCCATGTTTGTCCCAGAATCTGTGTCTAAACTGCAAAAGTTTACCAGGTGAGTCTCCTGCACATCCATCCCCCCAGCCACTCCTGGCCTCAGTGGTCGGGTGGAGGGCTGTCACGTCCCCCGCTGCCATGTCGTGCTGGACGGCTTCACACAAGGGCCCTCTGCCAGGAGGTGACAGCTGAGCAGGGACTAGAGCAGAGGGCGGGGCCGGCGGGGCTCGGGGCGCAGGGAGCAGCTCGGTCTCGAGGAGGTGGTGACCTTGGTGGGGCAGCCGGTGGGGCCCGCACACGGGCCTGCAGGGAGACCAAGCCCGAGGCGTCTGGCCCCTTCCCTCATCTGAGTAGGAGCTGGAGGGCTGGCTGGGCCTGGCTGACCGACTCGGGTTGGGTCAGCTCAGCTCCCCGGTGGTGGGCCAGGCCCAGGGGAACGTGTAGCACCGCCTGGGCCCCCTGGCCGGCACCCTGCTCGGGGGAGGATGCTTCCTGGGCTCTGAGGCGCCTGCTGCCCTTGGGAGCCCTCCAGAAGCCACCGTGATGGGAAGGGCCAGCGTTGGCTGGAGGTGACACCACCACCCCGGTGTCCACACTGCTCCACGCCCCACAGCTCCGAGGGAGGGCTGCGGTCCCCCGTGTGAGGTCTCCCTGGGGAGGGGGGGTCCTTGCTGGGAAAGCCCTCACCGCCGGCTGGGCGGCAGCAGGGGGTCGTCTCCCGCCCTTCGGAGGGGCTCTTGCCTGGGCTGGGCCGTGTGTGCTTGGGTTACGGAAATGGGGGAAGGCAGCTGGATGGACAGTCGTCCCAGATGAGGGGTCCGTGTTCCAGCAGCCCCTTCTCTCGTCCCCTCTGCTGGGCCTCCGCCTCCGGCGTCCTTCCTCGGCCTGCTGGCTGCCTGCTTCCCTGCGGCCACTTCCTGTGGCCGCCGCAACCAGTTACCACGGACTTGGTGGCTTAAAACCACAGAAATTAACTTTCTCATAGTGGGACCTAGTCTCTTTGGGGCCATCACGCAGAGCCTCCAATCTGCTCTTCACACGGCAGAAAGGGTTCCCTGAGACACCACTGCACGAGCTACTCAGGCACATCTCCGCCTCAAGGCACCCGCAGGGACCCTGCAGCAGCGTCCAGGCTGGCGGGGCCCTTGGGGGCTGCTTCCCGGGCTGGTCCTCAGTGCAGCCTGGGGGCAGGTGCCGCGTAGCCCTGCTCCTCTGATGGGGAAATCGAGGTGCAGGGAGGGGGCGAGGCTCCCCTCCATGACCCCCTGTGCCCCCCTGCCCCCCTCCCTGCTCCCCTCCCACCCCCCTGTGCCCCCTCCCACCCCCCTCCCTGCCCCCACCCCGAGCCCCTCGCTGGCTCACTGCGTGTCTGCGGCCTGCTCTGAGGTGCGGAGAACCCTCTGCCTGGGTGGGAGGCTCAGACATCAAGAGGCTAATGCTTTATGGCTGGAGCCCCATGGGGTAGGGGGCCATTATCACGTCCCCATTAAGGTGAGAACACCGGTGCTCAGAAATGGAAGTGACATTCTGGATCCTGCTCTGTTCAGAGGACAGTGGAGAGCCCAGATCTGGCTCCTCTGCCCACCCCAAGGCTGGTTGTTGGGCTCTGGGTTGGGGCCCTCCTTCCCCAGGAGGATGGGGAATCACACTGTCCCAGGGCCCCGCCTTCCCCACCTCGGCTGCTGTCACCTTTCTGGGATTTCTGTCTGGGTTCAGGCTGTCTCCTATCTTCCCAGCTGGTTCATGGGACGGCGGCCCGAGTACACAGACCCCAAGGTGGTGGCTCAGGGGGAAGGCCGGGAAGGTAAAACTTGATCCCCCATCCCCCGGGCAGGTGGGACCAGGTGGGCCCCCCGCAATCAGATGGCTGGATGCCAGGGACCCGCCAGCACACAGATGCAGGGGCAGGGCCCAGCCTGGAGGGGTTGCCATGTCCGTCCGTCCCCCGTCCCCACCGCAGCCCCTTCTCCCAGTGAGGGGCGTGGGCCCAGCTAACGCTGCCCTTCTGTCCTCAGTGACCCGCGTCCGCTCCCAGGGCTTCGTCACTCTCCTCTTCAACGTGGTGACCAAGGACATGAGGAAGCTGGGCTATGACACCGGGCCTCCGGACACACAGGGGGTCTCAGGGCCCAGCACGCCCCAGGGCCTCTCCCGGTGAAGGCATCGGCCCCCTGGGACGGCCCAGCGACCCACCTGCCTGACGTGCGTCGGGGGTGGCCGGTGTTTGTGTAATAAAGTGTTACCTTTTCACAGAGCCCAGGCTGGGGCAGCTCCTCTCCCCGCAGCAACTGACCTGGGAGCAGGGCCCCAGGGCTGGCGCGGGCCTTGGTGGGCACAGCCCGGGGTGGAAGCTGCACCAGGGCAGAAGCCAGCAGCCGAGCCTGGGCTCAGCCTGATCCCGGGCTCACGGCTGGGCGGCCCTCACACTTCGACACGCTCGTCCCTAAAACCAGCTTGTCCACCAAACAGGCGAGCCGGGCAGAACCTCCCTTGGATGGAGAGGCCCGCGGCAGCCCAGAGGATGGGCTGCAAGCCTCCCCAAGGTGGGCAGCGCCACGGCGGGAGAGCCCCGCCTGCCCTCGGCCCCCCTGGGCCACCTGACCCCCACTGGCAGCTTCCGGGGAGCCCTCTGGCCAGAACACCGGGCTTGCTCAGGGTTCTCCCCTCAGCAGGATTTGAGGGGAGCCCCGCAGCCTGAAGAGCCCACCTTAGCCACCACCCGCTGCCCGGCTGTCACGGGGACCTGCCTTTGTCCCAGTTCCCCCATAAACTCAGGGCCCCCAGCTCACTGCGCGCTCTGGAACCGTCCGCCAATCCCCAGCATCCTGACCCTCTTTACGTGGAACCTTCCCTCCCCGCTCTGGCCCCGCTGCTCCGCAGAAGCATCTCCTGCGTCCCCATCCCAGCTCCCTCGACGCCCCGGCTGTCAGACCACACCGCGTCCACCACAGACTCCACCACCTGTCTGCTCGTCCGGTGGCCCCGGCACGTCACCAACCACACGGACAGCCCTTCCCGAGACGTAGCCTCTTCCTCAGCCCCCTCCCTCTCCCTTGTAATGATCTTGGCCTGTGCCCCCGGCAGCCCCCAGCCCCCTCCTTCCCCTACGCTCAGGCTCACACAGGCACCGAGACCGGGTCGGTGGCCTTGTGAACCGCAGGCCAAGCTGGACTCCAGGCAGGAACCAGCTCCCAAGCGCGCCTCTCCCGATGCCTCCGGATTGATAAGGGTGGGGGCGGGGGAAGGACACAGCCAGAAACCACGTCGTGATACAAATGATAAATTATATTTATACAGTAAATAAGTATCAACAGTCAACACGAGTTCCAAACCGGCCACCCGCCCCTGGGACTGAGAAAACGGCTGGGCAACACCCCTACCACGGTGCCCGGCAGGAGGGAGCTTGATGGCATGTGTCCCACACGTGTGGCAGCACCAGTGGCTTCATGATCAGTGCAACGGGCAACACGGATGAGGCACCTGGGGGTGGGCCTGAGCCGGGAGCTGGGCGGGAGTCTGCCTGGGCCTGGGTGGGCCACTGGCTGTGACATCGGGGCCTTAAAGTCCCATCGGGAAGGGCCCCTCACTCTCACGAGGAATCATGACCCCAGTAGCGTGGTCCTGTGCCCGGTGAGGGGGTCGGCCCCTACCTCCCGGGGGAGCACCTTGCCCCGAGCCCCGCCCTGCCCCACCCTCCCCCAGGCTGCTGGGAGAGGCCGGACGGGCCTTCGTGGATGACTCTGGAGCCCATGGTCCAGCCCCAGGTCTCAGGGGCTGGGCAGGAGCTCTGGGCCGGGGGTAGCCCCAGGGAGGAGTACGGGTGAGCTCTTTTACATGGCAACAGGAGTGGCCTGAGCAGGCAGTTCTGAGTCAGCCTCCCGTGCCCAGCGCCAAGGGTCAGAGCTCCTGGAACCAGAGAGGGGGGAGGGGCCCCATCCCCCCAGGAGAGACCCCCAGCTGTCAGCTGCCCTTGGTGCTAGAGGTGAGACGTCCGCCACGTGGAGTGAGACTGAGGTGCCCGCCAGGCCGGCTGACCAGACAGACAGGACTCGGGGGAAATGGCCCTGCCCTGGGGAGAAGCAAGTCTCTTCTGGTCTTTCATTTGTGACTTACCTAATACTTTTTTATAGTGGTGGGCGGGGTGAGGAAAGCAGGGGAGAAGGAGGTAAGATTAGTGCACGTTCGCTAAAAATCTCTTCTGGGTGAGAATGATTTTTTCTTCCTCTGCCAAGTAAGAGATGATTACTTCTACGTTGCAACGGGTGTCTGGAGGGCGGGTGCGTAGGTCGGGGCCAGCCCTGGGCCCTCCCCCTGTCAGCCTGGGCTGCCCCCGACATGACGCCCCCCCCCCCGCTGTCCCCACCTCTACCCTGAGTGTGGAGTAAGATAGAGGGGGTCACAGACACAGGGTTCCAGAAGCCTCTCCTTCCCACGTTCCCACTGTAAACGAAGACTTGTTAACTGCATGCCTTCAGTCACAGAAAGGAGTTAGCTGATAAAACCTGATGAGTCACATTCATATGTTAGATTTTTTTTGTCTTTAACTTTCTTCATGTTGGTTCATCAGTAAGAAAAATAGCCTCTCTCTTAAGATCTAGCCAAAAAGGCTGGAAGTCAATCAGTTTGGTAATCCACCAAAAAAAGGAGTTAAAGGGAAAGGCAACTGGAGGCTACGATTTTTTGTTACTGTTGTAGTTTTCTTTTCCTTTTAAATAAACATCTTTTATGCATAATCAAATTCCCATATGTTTTCCTATAAAGAATTTGCTTTAGTTTTTCCATAAGGCATTTTTTTTGTCTCTTCCTATTTAAATTTTCTTACAGAGTTAAAACCATAAATAAGAGGACTTACACCACTAACATGACGCTGCCAATATCTTAATCCAGCCAGACCTGGTAAATTCTATCAAAACTAGACAGTTAAATAAGAACGACGTTATAAAAATATTAGCCAAAAAAGACTATTCGATAATTCTGCAAACAAATATGAAACTGTACTAAACAAAACCTGTGCAAACGTGTACAAGCATGGAGCACGCGGCAGGGCTACGCTCAGGTTAGTTTAAAGCTTGCTCTAGTGGGTTTAAGTCAAGAGTTGTTCCACGGTGGTGGCATTTACTTTGAACTCACACACGAGCCAAAGAAAAGTAAAATACGCACAACCGCGTCCCCCAAAGGTCAGTGTCTGAGGAGCCCGCACTCCATCCCGTCCACGCCTGGGGGGTCGCCAGGGCTGGGGGTGGGGGCCAGGTCCTGGGCAGGGGGGCTCCCAGAGGCCCGGGGCTGAGGCTGGGCCAGCACTGAGCACTGCCGCCTCCTCATCCAAGGCCCCCGAGGGCCGGCAGATCTCCACGGGGGCCGGGCCTGCGGCCAGGCTGGGTCAGGGGTCCTCCCGCCCGACACAGGCTCGGGGACCCACGTGCCGCGTGATGACGCCTCAGTAAGCCCACCACCTCTCGACCCTCAGGCTGAGGGCCAGGGCCGCAAAGACACCCTCTGCACACCCACCCCACTCTCAGACCCCATTCCACAGGCGAGAGCCCCTGCCCGGCGTCCTCGGCACGGATGCTCTGCGGCGGGTCCTTGGGGGGGGGGGGCGCACTAGAGGAGGAACGGGTTGGTTGTGCCGGTGGCCTGAGCTGCCGACGGGGGGACGCCCAGGCTGCCCACCATGTTCACAGCAGCGGGGCCCAGCGGTGGCAGGGAGGAGCCGCCAGCCCCCAGGGCTGGGTGGGAGGCTGCGGACGTCACGGAGGCCACAGCCACGGGCTCCACAGCCGGGCCGGGCCCGAAGGACGCGCTGCTCCCCAGCACCGGGCTCCCCCGCAGCTGGTTCAGCGTCAGCGGCTGCGGCTGGTTCACCTGGAAGGGGTTGACCGGGGCTGAGGCCGCGGCGGCACCTGGCGAGAGAGCGGGCAGGGTGGCCGCGGTCAGAGCAGCAGCATGGCCAGGCCTGGACGACCGCAGCACAGCGGCCACTGGGGCAGCCTGCCCGCCCCTCTGGGCCTGGTGTCGGGACTGGGAGAGTCAGGCCGTGAGGAGCCCAGCAAGGGGCCAGGCTCACGGGGCCCAGCTCCTCCTCCGGGCTGGCACCCCGGGCGCCCTCCCTCGTTCTCTCAGCCAGCCAGCCAGCCTAGCTCTGCGACCAGAGGGAGAGGGGAGAGGAGAGAGGTGCGGGGAGAGAGGGGAGCCACGGGGGAGGTGGGAAGCGCAGGGCGGCCCGCACCTGGGGACCCTGGCATAATAAAGGCTCTGAGAAGTCCTGCAGTCTAGAAGCAGATACAGCGCCGTCCTGCCCAGTGTTTCCGGAATTCCTCTCATACCAGAAACCCTTCCCCGAGTTCAGCAGAAACATCTACTGATACCCTGGCCAAAAACCACGGGCGCTGCCGGCACTGAGTCTCCAACTCGGCCCAGCCCCTGCTCACAAAGGCTGCCAGGAAGGCACCCCCAGGTCACCAGAGGAGATGCCGCCTGCTCTCCACGAGGACACCCCAACGCTCTTGCATCAGTCGCTCCTCGGAGCCGTGGGAAGAGGGCTGTGCAGATCAGATCACCCCGGCTAGAGATGAGCAGACTAGACTACAGAGTAGGACCAGAAAGGGGAAGAGCCAGGAGGATGGCCCTGGAGGGCCGGGGGGCTGCCGGAGCCTCCTGCGTCTTGGCTGTAGCCCCCAGGCCCTGACCGGCCCCCCACGGCCTGGCAGTGGAGCTCCTGCAGGGGCCCTCGGGGCAGACCCCTGGCTGTCGGCCAGCTCTGCCCTGGAGCCACCCCCACTGGTGGCAACCACGTTCCCTACCCCCCTCAGGAGCGCACGGCCGGGCAGGACCCAGGCATCACACACATACTGCTTCTGCCAGAGGGTCCCCGACCTCAGTCTGCCAAGTCCTCAGGTCTGAGGCCAAACACCTTGAAGGTGACTTGTTCCTGCCCTTGCGGAGCCCAAGGCCTTTCTGGGAAAACTCTGGGGAAGGGCAGGGGCTTCCTCAAGGAAAAGGGTTGCCCGAAATGAGAAGCGAAGGGGGTTCCGAATCCCCAGCCCCGGAGAAGAGGAGGGAGACGTCCCGGCAGAGGGAACAGGACGTGTAGCGGGGGGCAGAGAGCAGCCCACGCAGCTGAGGGGCTGAGCAGACGGGGGGCTGGGGTGGGCCGGGGGCGGAGAGCGGCCCACGCAGCTGAGAGGCTGAGCGCACAGGGGGCTGGCGCGGGCGGGGGCACGGGACACGGAGGCCCTGGCCACTCACTCGAGGGCTGGGGCTTGTCCTGCAGCCCACGTGGAGCTCCTGAGGGTGGAGAGCCCACCGGCAGGGAGGACGGGCTTGGGGGCAAGCGTGAGTGCCAGCCCCAGATAAGGCAGAATCCAGCAGCAGGGGCGAAGTGAGGGCTCTTGGGGTCCCTGGAGCATGGCCCAGCAGAGAGCCCAGTTACCCTCAACCCGAAAACAGGGCTGCTGGGCAGCAAACCCAGGCTCCTCCCCTCAGCCCCAGCACTGTCCGCCTCCAGCTGACCTAAAACTGGCGCTCGCTAAAGGGTCTCCCTGGCTGGGGCCCCAAGTCAGGGGCAGCTTCTGCTCAGCGGTCTCAACTGAGGACAGGGTTTGTTTTCCAGCCCCCGAGTCCCCAGAGGCGCGAGGGCTGGACCAGGATGCCCGGCACTCCGCTACTGCTCAGCTGGGGCCAGCACGCCCCTAAGCCTGGTCCCCGCCTGTGGTCCCCGAGGGAAGAGTCCCCCGCAGAGGTGGAGGGGAGGTCAGTGCCCATAGGCCTGCCCCAGAGCCGCTCTCAGGAAGGGCAGACGGCCAGAGGAAGGCCGGGAAGCAAGCATACCTGGTGCCAGGAAGGGGTTGAGGGACTGTGCCGGTGGGGCTGGCTTGGTCACCAGCGAGTCCAGGTTCACCAGGGCTGCGTTGGGGCCCAGGAAAGACTCGGGGGTTTTCCGGGTGCCGCTGGGCTTGCTTGAGGCCACGGTCGGGGGCTGGGACTCAAAGGGGTCGGGGCTGGTAGTTCCACTGTTCTGGGCCGGCGGAGACGCCGCCTTGGCTGCAAGACAAGGACACACACGGGCTGGTGAGCCTGGAGGGCTCATCCAACCCCGAAGCCTCCAGAGCAAACCCCGATGTCCCCGGACGCCGACTCGCCGGGGATGCGTGCGGCTGCCCAAGGAATGGGGCGTTCGCTGCAGTGCTATTTCCAACAGCCCCAACCTGGAGCCACGGTCAGCCACAGGGCAGGGCAAGTACAACCAGACCTGAGTCCAGGGACGGAAGGCGCGATGAGGAAGGAGCAGGGACAGAACAGTGCAGCACAATCTCCACAAATATTAAGATGGCATTTTGGGTTGGTGGCCACACATGAGTAGTTCACATTTTTAAAAATGTTTTCATTTTCTAAATTTTCTACGGTGAACATGAATTGCTTGACAGTAAGAAGAAAGCAAATGACTTTTAAAAATTCAGCCAACAGAGGGTGTGCTGAGGCAGGCCGGCAGGAATGTGGCTGCTCTGCTCTGTGAGATGGTGATGGGGACACGGGTCCCGAAGACTCAGGAGATCACGCAAAGTGTGAGCAGGGGCTGAAGCACAGAGATGTTCGCTACGGCATTATTTACTTTAGCACAACTTGAAATCAACTTAAAATGCCCTCCCCAAAATTAACGATTAAATATTGGGTTGGCCAAAAAGTTCGGGTTTTCCCGTAATATCTTACGGAACCCAGTAACTTGTCGCTGAGCCCTACAAAGAGACACTATAAAGCTATTTCTAAAGGATTTGTAATGTTGAAAGAATATGTTCTCAATCCGCTTTTCCATAAAAGTGGTGGAAAAAAAAAAAGAAGTGGTGGGGGCAGGATTTGACTCCCTCCATCCGTAAGAGCTCAGAAAAAGTGCTGGGAGGGAGCACAGTGGCCACGTGTAGATGGAAGAATTACAGATGATTTTCATTGTCTTCCATAAACTTTCCCACTTTCTACAATGGGAACACCTCCAGAATTGGGGTAAATACTTCACAAGCCCAGGGAAGGGTGCTTAGGCTTCTCCCTGAGGGGTGGGGAGCGAGCAAGGACAGTTAGGTTGTACTTGGGCCTGTGGAAGAGACACACGGAATTTTGTTGCTTTTTTAATGCGGCAAAAGAAACCCAGGGAAGCAGCAGCTCTAAGTTGCTTCTGGGCCCCTGGAGCTGAGAGGGCCCGGGGGCGGGGGGGGGGGGGGGGGGGGGTGGGGGGGGGCGGTGAGGGGTGCCAGGCTGCTCCTACCTTAGGCCAGCCCAGCCCTGCCTGCTGGGGGAGGCGGGGGAGGGGCAGTGGGAAACGGGGAGCGAGGAAGCCAGGAGAGGAGAGAGAAAGGAGAAAAGTTGCTCGGTGCAGCTGGGAGGGGTGGCCCTGAGGAAGGCAGGCGCCACCTGACTCTGTCCCCAGCCCCACAGGCCTGTGTGAAGAGGGCATCCAGCCCCCTCCCTCTGCCCCTCGGGGCCCAGTCTCCCTCCCACCTCCCAGCCAGGGGCGCTCGGGGAGGAGCAGGGTCTTCTGCAGAGCGTGCACGTGTGTGCATCACAGATGCCTGCCCACACAGAGAGCCGGGTGGTCTGGAAAAGGGGGTGCCTTTGGGGAGCCGGGAAGAGGAAGGCTGGTGGAGATGGCAGGGCTGCGCTGGGTCGGCCGGGGAGCCAGGGCAGTGGGCTTCCGCCAGCGGCCACAGGGCCCAGGGCGCGAGGCCGAGGAACAGAGGTGGCTGGAGGAGAGGAGAGGGTGACAGAAAGCTCAAGGGCATTCCTGCCGCCGCTGCCCCGTGAATGTGAATCCCTGAGTCAGACCCCCGGCTCCCAGGTCAGACACGTGCACACGCGTGGAGTCGCCAGGTTCCTGACTGTGATGCCTGCAGCAACGGGGCTGGTCAGGGGCACAGGACGGCACAGAAACCACCACCACCACCGCCGTTACGTACCTGCTTTTTTTGAAGTTCGGAGGTTGTCAAATTCAGAAAAGTCATCTTTAATTGTACCATTCAAATTACTGAAGAGATCAAAAGCCCCTGGGGAGAGAGCAGCAGTGGCTGTGCGGTGTCTCCACTTCTCTGCCATGTGCTTCCCCATCGGGGGGGGGACCAGAGGTGGGCCGGCGTCTGTAGCCCTCACGGGGGAGAACCCGGAGAGTCGGGGGGCAGCGGGGGTGTGGGGTCCCTGGGTGGGCAAGGTAGGCACCGGGAGGGGCCTCCCCATGCAGAGCAGGGCTCTCGGCTGCCCCTGCCCCACCTCCCCCTCCCCAAACTGAAGCCGAGGGGCCAGGGGGCGGGGGGCTCACCAGAGGGGGATGCGGGCTTGGCGGCCGACGCTGCGGCCCAGGGGTCAGCGGCTTTCCCGGCACTGGGGGCTGGCTGCTGCGGGGCGGCCCAGGGGTCAGAGCCCTTGGGGACGGAGCGTGTGCCGGCTCCGGTGGGCAACCCCCATGGGTCGACGGAGGTGGCTGGCTTGGCACCTGTGGGAAGGTGGGGTCGGTTCAGAGATGCTCCCAGAAAGGGCTGGGCAGCCAGGGTGAGAGGGAGAGGACCTGGGGCCACAGGAGCACCCTGGGGGGAGCGCCCGGGGAAGGGAGCACGGAGCCCCCGCGGCCTCCGCCACGGCAGAGCTTGCCCGGCAGTGTCCTCCCTGCCTGCACGCAGCAGACACGCGGTGCGGCATGGAGAGGCATCAAACAAACAGCTGTGCGCTAACACATCCACTCCCTAAAGGATGGGACAGACTCCAACGCCCGGGCCTGTGCAGGGTGGGGAGTGGGTCATGCATGCACGCGTGCATCCGTCCACCTGCACAGAGCACCCACGCACCTGCTCCCCCCGCGGACCATCTCAGACAACCACTGCATGGCCCCCACGCCCCACCCCAGTGGTCCACACCTCCCTCCACGAGCTCCGGTTTCGCCACGGAGGGGGCCGAGGGGGCGAGCGGTGCCGGGCCCCTGAGCCGTGTGCTACCAGACACGCCGTCGGGGTGCTCTCGGGGGCGGCTGTGTTCACGCAGAGGTTTATCCGGGAGACTGAGCTGCGTTGGTGTGCAGCTGAAACGTGTTGATTACTGCTATCTAATACTTCATCCTGTGACAGAAGGCATGGCTGGTGTAGCTGTCGCTGTGAGGCACATGCGGCCCTTCACCGCAGACACGGGCATCAGCTTGCTCCTTCCCAGGCCCCTCACGCCTCCTCTCCCACCAGGGGCCTGGTCCCGTCTCCACCCGCCTCCCTTGGGTTTTTTGTTTTCATTGATTTGACGGGTTCCTTCCACGTCTGGGTGCTGATTCTCTTCCTTGAGTTCCAAACACTTTCTCCTAACTTGTGGCCTTTCCCTTCACTCTCCTCATGCAATCTTTTGATGAACAGAGAAGTTCTCACTTGGATGGAGTAGAACGCAGCAGGATTTTCCTCTAATTTGTGCTTTTCGGGACACGCAGGAACTCCACCTCCACACGCCCTTGCACATGGCCTGGATCATACTTTTTACTTTATCCTTTATTTCCATGAGGGATTTATACAACTTTAGGGACTGGCATATTTTTAAAACTTCATTTTCTAGTTACTTATTGCTATGCAGAGAAACAATTTAATTTCGCATACTAATTTTTGTATTCAGCAATCTTGCTAAACTCTTAATTCTAATCATTGAAATACATCCTATTTATTCTTTTTTTCTTCTTTAAAATCTTTATTGGGTGTTAAAGAAGCAATGTATAATTGCTTTACATTGTTGTGTTAGTTGCATCCTATTTATTCTTACGGTAATTCTAATAACTCTTAATTCCAATCACCTCATTTGCAGAAACTCTTTGGGAGTCTATGTACACGGTCACATCCCTTGAAAGCGATGACAGCTTAGTTCTTCCAAGTCCCTCATTTTCCCGCCTCGCTTTGTTGGCCAGGACCACCCGTCCCAACGCAGAGCAGGGGAACGGACTGTGTCCACGTTTTGCTCTTAAACGTATACCATTAAATGGCACCATTTACCACAATAGGCGTTTTTCCTTTCAGAAGCTCTTTATCAGGTTATGGAAGTTCCCCCTTATTCCAAGTTCGCTAAGACTTCTGCGATAAAGAGCTGGTGAATTTTGTCAGCCTGTTTCTGCCTCTAATAGGATGATCACGTGATTTTTCTCTTTGGGCCTGTTCATATGGTACATTAATACATTTCCTAGTGATTTGGTCCTTGCAAACAATGCTCTTCACGAGGTACTGTATCATTTTTATATTTTCCTCGTTCCGGATTTACAGTTGCTTCTTTGCTTAGGGTTTTTGCACCTATATTCCTAAAGTGGGCCTGGCCTGACCTGTTTGCTCTCACACTGTGTATCTTCTGTCTGGTTTTGGTGTTAAGGTTATGCTAGCCCACAAAATGAGTAGGAATACTCCCTTTTCCCACCCCCTGAAGGAGTTTGTATAGAGTGGAGTTGTTTCTTTCTTTTTTGTTTTTAATATTTATTTATTTATTTTGGCTGCGCCGGGTCTTAGTTACGGCACGTGGGATCTTCGTTGCGGCACGCCGGATCTTTTAGCTGCGGCATGCGGGATCTAGTTCCCTGACCAGGGATCAAAGCCGGGCCCCCTGCATTGGGAGTGCCGAGTCTTAAGCGCTTGGACCACCCGGGAAGTCCCTGGAGTTGTTTCTTGAATGGCTTGAGAACTTCCAGCAAAGCCCTCTGGGTGATTTAGGGAACGAGAGGGAGGTGAGTGACTTACTCGGTTCCTTTAATGATTACAGGACTTTCCCTATTTACAGGTGTCCTACTGTCCTTCCGCCAGCTTTGCAGAGTCTTCCTTTTTAATTTACCCGTTTTATCTAAGTCCTCAGATCTGTCAGCACAGACTCGATCAAACGCCTCTTACTCTGTGTGGAATCTCGGCAGGGCCCGCACCTACACTGCTTGGCCTTTCCTCTTTACTTTTCAGAACTACTCTTGCCAGAGATTTCTCTATTTTATTACTCTTTTCAGTGACCAACTTCGGGGTTTGTGGATATTACTCTGTCTGTGTCCTAACTTGTTAGCTTCTGTTCTCCTCACTGTTGCGTTCCTTCCACCTGACTTGGGCGTGACACCATCCAAGCCTCAACACCTCATCAATCTTGTACCTTTCTTCTGGACTAATGCAAACATTAAAAGCTCTAAATTTTCCTCTTACTATCACTTCCATTGTCCTATGTATTCTGATGTGAAAATAGTTACGTTATTATTTGGTTCTAAATATTTCTGTCACTATAATTTCTTATTTGACTCAAGAATGTAGAAGTGTTTTTAAAATGTCAGGTGCATGGAGTCTTCTACTTATCTTTTTGCTACCGACTTTAAACTTGAGTGTACTGTGGTCAGAAGGTGCGTTCTATGTGATCCAGTTTTCTGACTTGGCAGAGGCTTTTTGCCTAGCACGCAATTGATGCTTTGCATCTTGCGTGTGACTGGAAAGAACGCGTGCTCTCCAGTTGCTGAGACGACACCTTCACAGGCTTATGAATCACGCTGCTCCAACTTTCTCATATTCTTATTTAAACATCTTCTCCTGCCTAGTTCTGTATTCCTGATATTCTCCATTCCTTCCCGAGATCTGAGTTTCCGTCTGGTTGTCTTCCATGTCAGCTGGAAGAACTTCCCTTGGCAGTTTTTGTGGGGCTGGAAATGGTACCCTTTCACCCTCATTCCTGAAGGATACCTTTACCGGATGCAGGATTCTGGTGGGTGAGGTTTTCGGTGGTTTCTCTATCTCACCGTTGCTCTCAGGAGAAGGATGTTCTCCCGGTGGGCCCTGAGGACGTCATCCCACCGCCCCGACGTTCTCGTCACTGCTGGGACTCGGCCGCTGGCCTGACTGCCGCTCTTCCCTGCTCCCGGGGGATCATCTCTGATGTCCTCTCCCTTTGCTGTCCTCCAGTCTCCTGACTGCACGTCTGGGTGTGGGTTTCTCTGATTACCCTGTGTAGGGCTCACTAGGCTCCCCAGCTCTGAGAGGAAGCCCCTGGCCACAATCCTTGAAAGCCCTCCGTCGCTATCTTTTCAAACATTACTTTCCTGGAACTCCAAAAAGCCGCGTCCGCATTCTGCCTGCACGCACCCCCAACTCCTCCGGAGCACTCTCCAGAAAGCTCCGTGGCTACTCGTTTACCAGGAGTCCCCCTGGACAGCGAGCTCCTGGGGGCACCAGGCGGGGTGAAAAGACCGGGCACTGCTCCCTGACGCCCGTGGACTCAGCGCCCGGGGCCCGTCCCCAGGCAGGGCATCGCACAGGGCCCGGCCGTGAAAGGGGCTCCTTGGCTTTGAAGAAGACGCACCGCCACCGGCCGGCCTCCCCCAGGCTTGCCACGGCAACCAGGACGGACGAGCCAGGGCAGCCTCACGCCTGTCACCCACTGGCGGCCGGCCAGCTCTGGTGTGGACTTGGGGCTTCTCCAGCCGCCGCCCCCAAGCCCACAACCCTCCTGAGGCTCCCAGAAGCTCCTCCGACCTTTCACTCCCGTCCGCCCAGTGTCTCACGCAGAACAACCTCCCCTGGGACGGACCCCACTCTCCCGGGCCCACTTCGGCCAGCGGGACACCTGGTCCCGGCTGGAGTCACACAGCCGGGGTGCGCCCTCGCTCTGCCCCCAACACAGCACCTCGGGGGCCTTGGTTTCCTGTCTCAACTGGAGGAAGCTGCCAGGGTGGAAACTGCGTCAGGGAGGGAGCTGGACTGCAGGTTAGAAGAGCTGGGACGTGTCTTCAGAGCTGCCGAGACGCAACGGAGAGGACGCAGGATGGGGAGGTCGCAGAGGACCCGGACCTGGTGCCAGGCTGCTTCTGGCTCCCGTGGGGCCTCGACCTCCCCCGCTCAGCAGCGCCCGCGAGAACTGCGGGCTCACAGTTCACGTCCCAGCGTGTCTGTGCCCAAGGACCCGGACTGGGAGCCCTGCACTCCTCCCCTGCGCCTGACTGCTGGGCAGACGCGCCCCCATCGGGAGACGCTCCCTGGTCACTTTCCAGCACCCACCTCCTCTCTTCTGGAGGGAATCCCCTGATCTTCCTCGGGAGAACTGTCCCCTCACCACTCCCTAGTCCCGGTCTGAGTGGGCGGACCCTGCGCTGCAACAGGGGAGGGTCTTCACCAGCCCACCCCCAGTCCCAGCTCCCCACTCCTGCATCCCAGAGAGGTCCATGAGGTCCAGGGAGATCCTCTCCATCCCCGGGCTGTGAGCACCCAGAGCCGTCACCCAGGCCTTGAGCTTCTGAGGCCAAAGGGAGAGGGGAGGGGCCCAGTGGGTGGGGGCAGAGCAGGGGGCCTGGGTCTTGGTGACACCGGCTCAGCCACTGGGTCGAACCGGCCTGAGGGCAGAGCTACCCGTCCCCACTGGGTACAACATGGCGTCCTACCCATCAGACGGCCTCCCCGGCCCGCTTGGGGGCACAGTCCCCACCCTGCAGCCCCCTCACAGGCACCTGCTCACGGGGGCCGAGCTCACGCCGCTCTCCCGGGCCTCAGAGAGGACCTGACACACCAAGGTGCTGGCAACTGGTGGGGCCTGAGGGACCCACAGAGTCTCAGGGCTGCGGGGACCCTGCGGTCACCCCGACTCCCATCATGGGCACCGTCGACGCTGGAGAGCACTTCTGGAAGGTTCCGGGTAAATGTCTGACTTGGGTGTAGAAACACATAGCTAGAGCTGCCCCAACTCTGCACAGCCCACGCAGAGAGTCTGCAAACGCCTTTGATTCAGAGGGATTCACTCACCACGCAGCTCAGGGGGCACCAGGCCAGCGGTTCTCAGCTGTGGCCCTTGGGAATCCCCTGGGGGTGTGAGTAGAATACTGACCCCCGCACACACAGATGCCAAGGAGGGCCTGGGCATGTGCATTTTTAGAGGCTCCCCGAGCAGCTAGGAGGGGAGCTGGTGCGGGAGAACCACGCAGCTCCTGGGCCGCTCGGATCGCAGGCTGGATGGACAGACGGACGTCTGGTGGGGCCGGACCCTGCCATAGACAGGCGGCCCTCAGCACCACCTCGCTCCTCTGAGCATCGTTTGGCCCGCACGGCCCAGGTCCAGGCCCTCCCCTGCAAGAGGAACACGGCCCCGGCGACTGTACCTATCATGCGGGTCACGGGCAGCTGGCGACCATGGGGAAGGAGGGGTCCTGAGGACAGGGTGACCCCGTCTCCCCGAGCAGGACACCCGAGCCATGTTTTCAAGCGCAGCCAGGCGCTCACTAGCCAAACAGCAGGACACAGCATCACGTGAGGAGCCGGCATGTAAGGGGGACCAGGCTGCCCTGCCAGGCAGAGGCCGTCTTGGAACTCCTTGGCCTCCCACCGCCCCGGGCCTCGGGCACTGCCCTCTTGACCGCACGTGGGACACGATGGGCCCCACTGTGCTCCGCCCACCACAGCCCCGCAGGGCCACACACCCGACAAATAGGCACTTGTTGAGGGACTGAGAGGAGGGGAGGCTAGGACCGAGGGCCCATTCACAGGGAGTGTGCCCGGCTCCCCCGCCCGGCTCCCCCATCCGTCTCCCGCCGAGCCTCACAACGAGCCTCCATGGGACAGGGAAGCAGTCACACGGCGGGCCATGGAGTGAGCGGGGGCGGGGGCTGAGCCGGCCAAGGCCGTCGGAATCACAGGCCGTGAGCCCTGCTGTCCCAGGCGGCTGCTTTGTGCCTGGCAGGTGCAGGAAGTGCCCTGCTGACCTGGCAGGCGCCGCTCTCCCTCCTCCCAGCCCCCAGCATTTCCTCCCGGGGCCCCTTGGCACAAGCTGGTAAAGGCAGGGCTCGCTACCGAGGGCGGCTTTCACAACAGCGCTTCTTTCATCCAGAGGGCGCATCCCACAGTGCTGGGGAAGAGACTCTGATCTTTCTAGCTGTTTCGGGGTGGTGGGGTGTTCCCCAAACACACACTGGCAGATTCTACCACAGACTAAGCAGTAAGCCCGACACTGTGTCTCGCTCCAGAGCGGCGTCTCAGAAGAAGGAAGCAAGTTCATGGTCACCACAGTCCAGTGAGCTTGGGAGCGGGGCTGAGGCCGCGTCCTGCCGTGCTGCTGAGGGCAGAGCGCTAGCACTGCCCACGGGAGCCGACGTCTAGAGCTTCGACTGATGCCTGGAAAGGCTCCCCGTGTACGGAAGAAAGAAATGTCTACACGTACCCACGATGTGACCCCAACCACGTGAAAACACACAGGCCCAGGGGACGCAGAAAGCAGACAAGCTAACATTTTAACACCGGTTCTCGCTCCCTGTTGCAGTCTGAGGGGACCTTTCCCGGACATGAGCAACCACAGAAGGCCTTAGCGGCAGTCCAAGATGGCGTGATGACTCCAGGACTGGGGGCCATGAGCACTGAGCCTGCCCTTCGCTTGCTGTGTGACCTCAGAGGAACGAACAGCCTCTCTGGGCTTTGATGCTCTGTTTTCCCCAAGTCACTGGTAAAAATGCCAAGTGCATCAGAACCGAGGAGACAGCCCTGGGTTGGGCAAGTAGCAAAAGATGGCAAAGTGGCAGTCCATGAACCAACCACACATGGCCACTGCAGGTGCATTTTGATTAGCTCCAAACATGTTCTTAATTTTTAAAATTCATTGTCAAAATTTAAAAATTTGATTTCACAACCTCAGGTTTCAACCTTCTCTTACTGCTCAATGGTTATACAAAATGTGGTATGTCTATAAAATGGAATATTATTCAGCCATTAAAAAGGAATGAAGGAGGGATGTGTGCTATCATGTGGGCAAACTCTGAAAACATGCTAATTGGGAGTCACAAGGGCCACGTGTTGTGTGATCCCATGACAGACGAAACGCCCGGACAGGCAACTCCAGAGACAGGAAGCAGACTGGTGGTGGGGGAGGGGCAACAGGGAGTGACTGCCTAATGGGAAGGGGTTTCCTTCTGGGGCAATGGAAAGTCCTGGGATCAGTACTGATAACCGCACGCTATCATGAAGGGCTAAGAACCACTGAACTGTCTACCTGAAAATGGGCAAGATGGTGAATTTTATGTCGTGTAAGTTTTATCTTGATTAAAAAAAATTTAGAAGAGCAAAACCACGTGGGCAGAATTCCCATGTGATGTTCAGCTCCCTCTGGGCACCAGCCGCCTCTCCCCGGCTGCTGGCTTCCGCTGCCTGCAGGTGTGAGAACTCCAACCACTGGAGGTGGTCCTGCCCCACCGCAGGAGACCCCCCCCAGCTCCCCGCGAGGGTCAGGTGCCTGGTCAGTCAGGACGCCCAGCTCCAGGGCCCAGCCCTGTCCACCAGCCAATGGGAGGGCTGGGCAAACTTGCTGGTTGAAAAAATATGTATTCCCTCTCTCCTGACCAGGTAATACTTACTCCTGGTAAATAAGTCAAACAGTTAAACAAAAAAAAAGGTAGAGAGGGAAACGTCTGTCTCTCTCCCACCACTGCGACCCCCAAACCCCTCCCAAAAGCAGCCGCTGACTGGACTCAGTGCTCCTCAAGCCCGCTGGCTTCACCAGCTCCTGGAGGGACCACGCTCTCTCCCCGGCACTGAGGAGACCGCCCGTCTGCTTACTGACCCCATACGACTTTGAAAGGGATTGAGAGTCTCTCCTGAAGAACACCCCACCCGTAACTCGACACAAGAACTGTTTTCAGATTTAAAGAAAAGCCCGAGCCGCTGCCTGGAAGGGCCCGTGTCCCCATGGGCAGAGCCGAGGGGCGTTTCCAGCAGACCTGCCTCGTGTGGCCACGCGTGCTCCCAGGGGGGGTGCGGGGGGCACAGCACACAGGCGGGGCTGCTGTGGCCTCCGGTGAGCGACAGTTCTAGGGCACTGGCCTGGGTCTGCCCCAAGGCACAGAGGGCTCCCACCAAAGTGGGTGTGGGGCTCTGCCCAGCCCTGAGGCCAATAGCATCCCCCAAGGACAAGTGCAGGGACGCCCGAACCTGGCCCTCCCCTTCCCCACCCCCACCCCCGCCGCCCATTTCACACCAGCAGGGCCCAAGCCCTGGGCCCACTACAGCACCGCACGGCCTCACACCTGTCATGAGCTGAGCCTTCTGCGGGAACACCCACGCCTCCTCAGGGCCCGGCCACGCCTGCTCCTCCCTGAAGACTCCTCCAAGACGCACACCTCACGCCCGCCGGACTGCTGCCCCAGGATGGACGCAAAGACGGCCCCCGGGGCCCTGCCCACATAGCACTGCTACTAGGCTGGCGGCCTGACTCGCCCACACGCAGGGCCATTACCTGCTCCTGTCTGGGTCCCCTCACGGCAGGACAGAGCCTGGTATTCGGTGCACTTTGGCAAACTTCCAGGGAACCAAGCCGGATACAAAAGATGGTTCTGGTTTGGGGAAACAGAGGCCCCAAGAGACACGAGCAAACTGGCACAAAATATACATTCGAGGTTGCAAGACAGGAAGCCCACGGATCAGCCATGGGCAGCAGGGTTGATGGAGCACCCGGGGGGCCTCCCAGAGCAGCAGGCTGGGTGGCAAACCAGCCCAAAGCCTGGAGGCCAAGCCCCGTGCCCAGCGATCCGGAAGCCCACGTGCCCAAGATCTCGGCCCAAATTAAACAGAGGGCGCCACACTCCTGTCTGAATCTCCTATCACAAGTTCACCTTGCATTTGGCATTAAACAGAACTTTAAAATATCCATTTAGCCTCGTAAACTGATTTGCTATTGCTTAAATGACAGGTAAGAAGAATTACAGTAAACGTGTCCCCTTTTCATTAGCGATCACTTAAGCACGCTCTAATTTCTGGCTAATTACAGCACGATGATTTAGACATTTCAGGCTGTGTATTACGGTTTCTTAACCTGGGGTGCAATTCTGAGGCTGAGAGAGTTGACGCATGTCCTGGAGGAGGGACAAGCCCTCTCCGAGGCGTGTGGGCAGCGGAGAAGAAATCTCCCAAAGCAGAAAACCACTCACAACAGAACGAAGCAGAGCCCTGAACCGCAGTCCTCAAGGGGGCGCTCCGGGTCCTGCGGAGGTCTGGACACCCACCCCCACCACCCAGACCCACTCAGACCGCTGCCAGGTGAGAGGGAGCTGCGCGCCCTGCAGCCACTCCCCCGTCCAGCAGGTGGGCAGGGGAGACGTACGAGGGAGGTCTTTACCGAATGACGGCCAGGGGTCCGAAGTGCTGCTGGGGGCCGCCGGAGCACCCCAGGGGTTGGTCTGGCTGGCTGAAGCGGAAGGGCCCCAGGGCTCCGCCTTCGGGGCAGCAGGGCCCGCGCTGGGCAGAGCGTCCATCAGGTCCAACAGCGTGGTCTGCTGCGGGTGCGAGCCATGCTGTTGAGACGAGGACCGAAGAAAGAGGACAGGTTTACCCTGCTGCCCTTGCGGCCAATGTCCGCCTGTGCCCCTCCCAGTGCAGAGGCCTTCTGGGTGGCCCAGAGGACCCGGGACTGCGCCGCCCCACATCATCGCTTCTCAGTAAGGACCAGGCTCCACCCACACCGGCTATTTGCTGTGTGCCAAGCGCCCGCCGTCTGTCGACAGGTCCTTGGGGCTTCCCAGGAGAACAGGGGTTTTGCCTCCCTCCGAGACACGGCCCCCTGACCCGCCCGGCCCCCCAGCTGCCAGCGTCATCCAGGTCTCTCTCCCGGGGGCCGCCACACCCTCCTGCTCCCACAGCCAGCCTGGCTGCCCTCAGGGACCCCGCAGCACTGGAACAGGAGGCCACTGGAGCCCTGGCCCTGCGGGAGGGTCTGTCTCCCGACAGGATGACGAGGTTGTCAGGGGCAGAGCCACGTCCAGTTCACCTTTAGTTCCCAGGTAGGAAGCCCGGTATAGAGTAAGGAGGACGCCGGCTTACCCTGGGCCAGGAAACTGTCCCAAAGCACTTGACGCTTAGCGGCTTGTGGAGCAGCGGCCGGAGCTGCGCGGGGTGGGGGTCGGGGGGACGGAACTGAGGTGGGGTCAGGGGAGGGCCCAGCCCCTCGGGCGGATGTGTGTCACCCGCCCTCTCCTCACTGCCGCTGGCTGTGACAGCCACTGGGGGTTGGGCTCAGGAGGGTCTCACACACTGACTTGCTCCCCACGCCCAGCCCGTGAAGCACTCACCTCTTTCTTTTTTGGAAATTTAACTGTGTCTCTGCGGCTTTCTTCCAAGGCCATCTGCAACCTGAGGTCATCTCCCCGCCTGAGGCGCTCTTCCTGTAGAGGACAATGGACCCTGAAGCTGGTGGTCACTGGCAACAACATCCCCAGGAGCCAGGCCCTCCTGGCCAGAGCCGGAAACCAAAGCCGTATCGCACGTCACTTCAAAGGAGGGTCTGGGGACGACGTGGACATGAGCCTCTCCCACCACAAGGTGTGCCCGGTGTGGGGGGGGGGGTGCCCACCCAGATGGGGGAAGGGAAATACTTGTAAAATACTTTTTCTCAAAATGAAAATGACTTCAAAATTCTTTCTAATTGTAGAAGCAATATGTCTCCTTATAAAACACAAACAACCCAGAAAGGAATGAGAAAGAAGACAGAAGTCACAGGTCATTCCACCCTGCCCCCACTGTGTGTGCTTCCAGAAAATGAGTGTGTGTTTATATTTTATGATTTCTAACAGAAATGATTCGTTATATTTAATTTATATTTAGTCAAGGCACAGTCAGCATATATAAAAAGACTGGGCCGACCTAGCTTTTTTATACAATACAATGATTAAATATAAGTAAACACACTCACTGCGTCTTCTTTACCCTAAGACAGGAGCAAGGAACTACAACGGGCTGGCCCGTCCGTCTGCCCCATTTTCCCCATGAGAGTTCTGCACGTCCTGAGTGGACAGAGGGGCCCTGCCGGGAGCTGGCCGCTACATGGACCTCTGCGATATTCCAGTCACCGCGGGACCCACACCTGCCTCTTCCATCCGACCCCCCGCTGTCTCTCAACAGCACTGCCAAGCGAGAGGGGCCGCGGGCCTCGCTGCACTCCTTCGCCTTTTTTAACCAAAGGGCAGCAAGTCCGGCCTGAAAGCGGCAGCCAAGGGCCGACCCCTTTGAAGGCTGCTCCTTTCCCTTATTCTCCATCTCTTTTGTAAAAACCTGTTTTTTTTTTAAATTTATTGTTTATTTATTCATTCATTCATTTATTTGGCCGCTCCGTGCAGCATGCATGTGGGATCTACTTCCCTGACCAGGGATCAAACCCGGGCCCCCGGCACTGGGAGCACGGAGTCCTAACCACTGGACCATCAGGGAAGACCCTCTCCTTCTCCATCTTAACGTAACGTGTGCTTATAAAAGAAAAACTGCACACATGCCCACGTCTGAATGTCAGACTCTCATCTCCTGGGCGTTTCCCCCCAGCCTCTGTCTCATCCTTTTCTGGGTCCAGATGCTCTCGACCCACCTTGCAGATTGTGGTCTGCATTCGGCGATGAGGGCTGTGGACACTTGGCTTGGAGCCCAGCCAAGCGCGCGGGAGCGCTTCCAGGAAGCACCTCTGACCGATGCGTCCCCAGGACCAACTAGCGAGAGCCCCTCCTCCGTGTGAGTGCGCCCGGGCCCCGCCCCACGGGGGCGCGCATCCCTGCTGGCACCCACCTGCTCGGCCACCTCTCTGCTCATGGCCAGCGCCAGCTGCAGCTGCAGCTCCTCTTCCCCGCTCGTTTGCGGCCGCGCCTGCTCCAGCTCTGAGGACACCCGTGGGGAGGTGGCTGCGGGGGAGGCAAAGTCAGCGTGAAGGACCAGCGCTCCCTGGCCAGCCGCCCGCTCCCATCTCACACCCACAGGGCCACCCTGGCTGGGAGACGGGGCTCTGCGAATACGCTGCGCGCACAGCCAAGGAACGTCACAACTACGCCAGCCACGCAGTGCTCGCCAGGACAAACGCCCTGGGCGGCCAGTTCAGGCCTCTCAGGGGTCAGAGCCTATCTCCACTGCACGGCTTCAAGGAGAGGGGCTGAGTTTTTACAACGTCGAGAGCACAGTTCTTGAAAAGCTGGGTCAAAGATCATTCAAAGAAGGACATGGCCTCTGTGGACTCGCTCCTCTCAAGAACCCCCCTCGCATGTGTGAGAATGTCACCGTATCTCCCGGTCCTAAGGACATGGAAAATGAAGACCAAACATTTCTGCAGTAACCCTGAACATTTTTGTTTTTTAAGTAAAACTGCGTGTTGACTTGGAGAACAAAACACCCGCAGCCACTGCGTGCTTCGGTACTTGTCTAGCTTAAACATCTGAAGCAGCACCCGCTTTGATGAAGCAGCTCGGATGAAGGGATGAGATGTGAATTCCCAGCTGGTTCCCAAAGAAAGGGGTCTTCGCACAACCCCACTGTGGCCAGGCTGGGCCCCACACGCGGAGAACGCTGGGCTTACGCACCATCACGCTTCCTGCGCCAGGGAGCCTGGGCGCCCGCAGAAACCAGACGTGAAGCTTCGGGAGCAGCAGCCAAGAGTGCGCCACCCCTGCCCGCCGCCCCCCAGGACAGGAAATCTCAGCTTGAGCCCTGCCACCCGGAGAGCTGCGGAGCCACCGCCTCGGGTGCCCCTGCCCTGTCCTCCCTCTGGTCCTCCGGGGCCGGCCTCCCGCCAGCGCTGGGTCAGCACTCCCTCTCTCCCAGCACCCCTATTCTGCAGTTTGGTGGGTCATGTCAGAAGGTGCTCCTAGGGAAGGGCCCAGGCTCGTCTTCCCACCATCACGTCCATCCGCAAAGTCTGACAAAGCAGCTGGCAAACACCCACTACGTGGATAAATGGGCAGATGGAGGGACAGGCAGATGGAGGATCCCACTGCATGGCCGAGGGGCAGTTGTTAAAGATGCTCTGGCTGTATATTCGTCTGCCCCCTTCTTCCATTACATCCCTTCCAGCAGACCCAGCCCCCAGCACTCATGCAAATGCTGCCTCTGCCCAAATCTCCAACCTAAGCTTGCCTCTTAGGATCTGCCTCTTTGGGAGAGAGTAAACGGTGGGGAATGATGCCTGATACTGAGGTTTCTAGACGGCTGGGCTCTGGCTACAGTGAGTAAAACGGGAGAAGAGGCGAGATACAGTTAGGGTCCTGGAAAAACCCACAGGAGAACAGGCGAGGCTGCAGGGGCAGTGCAGGGCGGGGGCTGTAATCGGCATCACTCTGTCCTACGATTTAGGAAAGACACGTACAACACATGGCAGTGAGACTTCATCTGGGACAATCACATGGCCTGAAGCACAGTGTGTCCACTGTGATTTACTGTCAACCAAGAGAAACATTAAAAAAAAAGCCAGCAACCAATTGCCTCATGTCTACTCTAAGCTAGTGAGCAGGTCGAACAGCAAAATGCTGCAGTTATCCAAAAAACACCAACATATTTTTCTAAATAAAATCAAGTCAAATCCCAGCCTAGTGCATCGCCCCAATTACATTTTCCAAAGCATTTCTTAAGAAATAAAGCTAGATGGTAACAGAATGTCCTCAAATCTACCTTAATAATTTGATTTCTTAACAATATAGCAAAACAAAAGCACATTTTGGGTTGGTTTGTTTCCAAACCTCACCTCTGCCCGTCACAGGCAGCAGCTCTGGCTTCCTCGTGCTCTAGAAGCAACATCACCACCCAGGCTGGTGGGAACAAAGGAAGCTGGCCAGTCGTGGGGGACAGTGTGGGGGGACTCCTGTGACGCACGTGGCTCTCCCATCCAGGTCACAGCCACTCAGGCTGCCCGTTCCCAGCCTCCTTCCTGGTAAGAGTCTCTGAGGCTGCTTCACAAAACCCTCAGCTTACAGCAAGCACGGCACATCCGACACCCTTCATTTACTCCCAAATGGAAACCAGGAGTGAAGAAAGGAGAAGACCTCAGACCCCGTTCCACACCCCAAAAAGCCCCCTGAACAGAGAGCCCCATCTTGGCGGGGAAAGCCGAACCTGGCCTAACGGTGGGACCGGGATGAATGGGCCGGGCTCTGCGCAGGGCCTGCCAGAGACGTGAGGCCCCCCTGTCCCCCGAGCCTCTCAGCACAGCTGCGAGGCCAGCCCAGCTTCAAATGCAAACGTGCACGTCTGCACCCCACACAGCTGACGCTGCTGGAATAACGTGTGGCCGGCACACACGGAAATAGCTCACCACATCAGTAAGGAAATTAGACAAAGGGTATTCCCCTAAACGCTGTGGTTTTCATAAGAGGAGGCACGGCTCTCAGTCACGCAGTTGGAAGAATTCACAGCCACCAGCCCACAGCGTCAGCTGAGCTGCACACGGCGGTCTCAGCTGCGAGGGAGGCATCCGGCGGAGACGTTCCTGCCTTAGTGACAGCATCTCGTCTCCACAAAGGGCCTCTTGTGCCCAAGGACAGGGCAGTGGACACAGAGGTGGTGGTGAGAGGGGCCTGAATGGGCCCTTCTGACCCCCGGAACCTGGCCCTCGCCCCACTCTGACGATCTGAGGGTCCACAACTCATGGGGACAGTGGAAGAAGCAGGGGTTCAAGGGGCTGGCCGCTCTCGGGTCTCAGGCTGCTTTCTGACCCAGCACCCTCTCGAGGGAAGACCGGTACCATGCGCACAAGCAAATCACTCCACGAGCACGCGTGTCACCACCCTTCTCCTGCAGCTGAGACGGGCCCGTGGGGAGAACCATGAAGCCTTCACCTGCTCAGTGGGCCCCCCGTTCACCCTGTCCAGTCTGCTACCCTGGCTGAGAAAGCTCGGCAGGGGAGGTTGAACAGGGAGCCTACACAAGCCCAACAGCTCCCGCAAAATACAGGCTAAGACGAGAACCAGAAACACCGCTGGCGTCTCCTGCAGGGCCTCCCGACCTCACCTTGCTCGCCTGCTCCAGGGGCTGGCCGACCCACATGGGTCCCCAAACGCGCCCCTAAAACAAAGGCACTTCAGATGGGCACGGTCGGGGAATTTCGAAAGAAGAAAGCAAAGCAGACAAGGTAATAGAAAAACAGGAAATTGCTTCTTCTCGCTGGCTACGTTTTGCAGTGTTCCTAGAAAGCACGTAAGCGGTGTCTGCAGTCACGGACGCCAAGTGAAGGGCACAGACTCTGCAGACCCAGCTGGCCCAGAGGCGGCTCTGCACGGGGACTTCTCGTAAAGCCCTAGCACGCAGGAGGTCGCTGGGGTACCCGAGGCACGTCTGACAACCTAGCAAGAATGCAAGGTCGCCAGGCAGCGGGGCTCCAAGAAGACCCCATCTGGATCCAAGCACTGCCACCACCCTAACAACCCCGTGCCCGACAGCTGACGGGGATGCCAGGGCTCCGGTCCCGTCCCCACCCTATAGCAGCAGGGGGACCGCACACGAATGGCCACCTCTCTGGGCTTCTGCTTCCACGTCTATGAAGTGTGGGGGAGGGAAGGAGGGTCAGGAGGACCCAAGATACAGCAGCCCCCCAACCTGGGGGCCAGGCCTTGCCCAGGTCACTGCTCTCCACTCTGTCCACAGCCACCAGACGGCCCCCTCCATCTTGCACGGCAGAAACCAGGGACTGGTACGCGCTCTGGCCCCGGGTCTCCATGGGCAGAGGACCGTGGCTCTGGCGGCCGGGGCCTCCGCCCTCCTCTTTCTGCCGGTCTCTGAAGGAGGGGCTGGGGAGCCGGCACTGAGCCCAGGGCCAGCTTCTGCCCCCCAGTGACTAGCTCCCCGGTCCAGCTAGGTTCCTTCCTTGTTACTGAACTGCAGCGAAGTGCTTACTGGGTCTTCCTCAATGTGGTGACAACCTCCTGTGTTCCACCAGCCATTTCCCGAGTCACCGATGACCCTCGGCCACCAAGGACACTCCCACACAGAGTGGAGGCTTTTGAGCCCGTTCCCCAGGGAGACCCTCCAGGGCCCTCCCTCTCCCAGCTCACAGGCAGAAGAGGAAAGACTGCTTTTAGTCAAGCGAGGCAAATTAGGAGAAAATAAGCTCAAATCACCCCAGGTTAACATTGAAAGAGAAAAAAACCATAAATACGTTGTGGAAAA